AGCTGTTTTGGCCTTACTGACTCCTAAAATAAAGAAAATTAATTTTTTTAGTTATTTGATAGATATCATAATGCTGAGGAAAATGTCACAATGGACACGGACGTTAATGAAACGAAGAGTCAGATCCACATCCAATATTGAGCAGTATAGTATCACCTTTGAATCCTTATTATTTTGTCGATTATGTGCAACGATGGATAAAAAGTAAATAAATGAAGCCGCGTTGAATTGCACATTATGACTAACATTCGATTTATTGCTTTTCTCCATCGATTAAGGTATTCAAGCAATGATTGGGAGAACAAGCAAAACAACGATAGTATAGATATGAAAAAAAATCTCTCAGTAATATCTTATCACATATTATTTCATGTATACGGATGAATGCACACAAGCCAAGCTTATTTTTTGACCTGTCTTTTAGCAACATAATCCTTTCATTTTTTTCATAGGTCAACATTGATACATTTCATCGTCTATACTAGTCATTAGCACAGACGATTTCACACGAATACAACGAACTAAGGTAAGTCTTTCAAAAGTGTATTCTCTTTAGAAGACCTTTTTCATTATCAATATTCAGCAGATTCTTTTGTGTTGAAGCAGTACTAGTAACCGTGTAGTGTATTATTTTCGTATCGCAATAGTTACTTTTCTGGTGACGAACACATTCCGAAGTTCTATATTAAATGAATAGCAGATATAAGTTACTCATTGAAGGCTATGAACAGCAATTTTGAGCACTGAAATGAATCAAAGAAATTCTAATGACATAGAAAAAGGTATTTAGTTTCAATCTGAATTTACGACGAAAAAAAATACTCAATTTTCAGATAGAATGAAGGTCGAGAAGACCTTTAGGATTATGCATACATATATATGTCCCCTTTATTTTCGAATGGAGGACTAGGAGATCTAACGGGTCTTTAGAATAGTTCATATGAATACAACTATATATGCTCAGCTTTTCTATCTAAATTAGGGTATGTATATCTACAATTATATAAATAATTCTAAAGATCCCTAGGATTCCTATCTTCCGAAAATGATGCTTATAGGTGCATAATACAATAAAGCAATGTGAATTTATATTAGGTGATGAGTCGTAAAAGATTAGCAATCGAGTGTATGAATGTGATTGAGTTCGCATCGCTCAGTGGGAACTCCCTATAAACTAAAAAATATCGCTACCTAAGATTAGGGAGTGAAGTTGGTTTATACTTTTTTTAATTGTAAAACCATCTTCCCACTTATTCTGTCCGCAAAGATGCCATTTTTCTTAGACTCCCTGAACTATCGTCTTTGGGGAAAATCGAGTGTCATTTTTTCCCAAAATTCAGTTTGAAATCAAAACTGCCCATAGACTCCCTAATGATGAAGAAATCGAAAGAGACTACAGCTGAGTGTGAAACAAATTAGCGGTCTCTGATGAAAAGAGACAGATCATAAATACTTTTGAAATCACGAAATAACTATATCAAAAAAAGAGCTTAAATCTAAGAAAAATTCAGGTTTTGATCTCGTTTCGAATTACATAATTCAGCTATTATCACCAATCCATACCGCTTGTTTGGTAAACTGAGTCAATATGGAGCATAAGAGCGTCGATATCCAGAAGAGTGGAAGCTAATAACAATAGTAACACTAAATAATTGAAAGCAAGCGCTCCACGGTGTGATCAAACCAGGTCCACATCCTCTTTTTTTACCCGTTCTAAATTTTTTGAAAAAGATGTACGAGAAAGAATAAGAAATGGAGCAGAAAGTATCCCATGCATCCCATCTTAGCTATCCCCTTCCTATTCGAGTTTTTTTCTATTTGTCAAGAAGTGAGCATCAATAATGAAAGCAAATGTACCAATATTTGCTCTATATATGTTATCAGAGAATATATAGTAAAGTGTGGTATGCAACCTTATTAGTTAAGTTATATTGATTTGGTATGCTCTTTGAGTTGCTTGAAAGTATTGCCCTCATGTTTAAAAGCCAGACGAGCATTTGTAGTTTTTCTTGAAAAGAGCTTCAATATATTCTATATCTTTACTGGTGACCCACAAGGTAATAGCCTAAGTCTGTATCTATTTATCGTTGTTCATTGTAATATTATCTCTTGCCTTAGTACTCATTCTGCATACGTTTTTACTGAATATCTGAACGTGCTTATTCCGCCTTCCTTATCGTCACATTTTCCACCTTTGATAGAGTATTTAAAGAGTGAAAGAACTAAATTATGCAATCGAATTTCAGTATATTCAAAACAACAGTAGCCTAAATTTTCATGTCACAGGTGACAAGAGTCTCAATAAATATCTAGGTTTTATAGGAATTAGTAAGCTATCTCGAAAATCAACTATTAACAAATGTAGCGAGAACATTCAAAGGGCTCTTGAAAATTTGAAGTATTTTGGAGCAATACTTTCCATTTCTGCCAAAAGCTCATCAAGAGATATTGAGATGAAAATTTCATTTTTTTTCATTAGAACAAAATATGTTTTCTGTAGCAAATGAAGATCCTATCAATTTCGCCGTTAAAAGATATACATAAGTCAGATCTAGAATGGTCTCCTTTTAGTGAAAGAACTAAAAGACAGACATAACATTCAACTGCTAAAATAAATGGAGTTTATTAACTGAATATTACTATGTGGATTCATGTATCTCTTTTTATCTACTATTTTTATTAAAACCATTCTCTCTTCAAAGTATCTGTAACAAAAATTGTCACTGCGATTTTTGAGTTCTACCGTAGAGAACAATTGCTCAGAATTGTATTCTTTTATCATTCGAAAAGGTTTGACCTAGCCGGAAATTATATGCATATTGGTGGAATAATATCACTATTGGTTTCATCGATAGAACATCAACTATGCAAATTTATGTTAAGATGAACACGAATTGAACAGTTTTAGAGAAAATGCAGTTTAGCCTACGATCGATTACATTCTATGACACACTCATGCTCGAGCTTCTTGAAGATCTTACAATCAGATCGACCACAGTGTCCTATATCAGTTGCCGAGCTTATCAAAACAAAATTGAACCAGTAGAACGATGGGATTCTCAAGTTTCTGAACACATTTCGATGATGATATAAGTGGTTTAATATAAATTGGTTGCTGCATTAAAACATGTTGAAACCCTTTGATTTTTTGAAACAGAAGTTGTATGAATTCGAATATTTGGACTCTAAACAACAACGTAAACTTTTGATTTCTATTCCGTTTGATAATGAACACTTGGGTATCTTTTTAAAGCAAAAAACTCGAAATTGAAAAAAGTGAATTTTCGAGACGGGGAAAGAGGGTGACCTTAAGGGCTGAATGGTAGACTATTGAATGAGTTTATAAATTTTGTAGAACATCATTCGCTTGTTTTGCAGACCAGTGAGACTCGTCTTTCGGTGTCCATTACGGTTTGCTTAGTGCTGACACTTTTGCTAATTGTTTTTGATGAGATTTCGTGGGTCCTGATTCGGAAGTTTCCCACCAGATGACTTTGCCGAATATTGTAAACGTTTCAGACTGCCTAGAGTCCAACTATTGAAGCTAACTGTCTAATAGATTCATATCAGCTATGAATTTTCATTAACCTAATATAACTCTTCATTGAAAACTGCGGCGTTGAATCATTTATCTTAGCGAATCGAATCGAGTGCATAAGACTGAACAAAAGACAATGATTATGGATGCATATGTCACTACTAGACAGATAACTGCTGTACTCTAAACAAAATAAGTATCTTGCTGAATCTTAAAGATTTCGTATTTGGGTGTGGCACTTTTTTAGGTTCAGAGAAAATGGATGGGTTTCGCATTTTTCATACTAAAGCATTCCTAAGTTCAGAAAAAAACAACGAGTGTTACATTTTTCATACAAAATCATTATCCCTTTCTAGTGTGAATGAAATTTTATATCTTCTTTATAGAACTTCGTATGGCTTGGTAGAAAAAAAAGAATAGTTGCGTATGATTTGTAGATAGTCTTCGGTAGTTTTGCCGAAAACAAAATGAGTTCATATTTTTTCTACAGAGCCTACTGCATCTGTTTGATGCAGAGAAAAATTCCGTAGAATATAAGAGAGTATCGTATTTTTCTTACCAAATTAATTTTAGTTTTTGAAAAAAGAAAAAGTTCTGTAAATTTTGTACGAAACTTTCTGTGCGAGCGATTAGTGTCGAATATTTATCTCGAGTCTTATTCCGTATGGGTGGCAAGTGAACGCTTTTATAAAAACTACTTACAGGAGAAAAACTCGGGAAATGGTCAGAACTTTGAAGCAGAAATTTCATGATCAGTTTCGCTAGTCGGAATTTTCTAGTTGCGCGATCATTTTCTCATATGCATCTTATACCATTTAGCATTGCAATAAATACATAGTTATACATTTTTTAGACGAAAACCAACTTCAAAAGTCAAAGTCTCCGCAAACACTTCATTCACGATAATGAAATTTAGGTAAGTAAATCGCTTGGCATGTTTTATTGCGTCAAGGGTGAGGATGCAGTTCTGAATGACTGAGACGCTAAAGATGAAATTGTATCGCAGAGTGGTCTTACGATTATTTATCGTGAAACCATTGTGACCTAAGTAGAATCAGTTTTGGAAGAAGAATTTTAAAGAGTTTTGAGATAGAGTTATATTTTGCTAGAACCTAAAATGTTTCAGAAAGTTGTACCCAAATTTAAAATATTAAGAAGTTCAGCATGACACTTTTTTTGTTTTTACAGACCAGACAACGTCATATTTCCCTTACCGCTATGCGCTACAAAGCCGAAAAAAACATTGAAATGCGACAGAAAGACACCAGACGCACATGTGCACAGAGACAAACGACTGATTCGACTTACTGGTGTTCATCCATTCAATGCTGAACCACCACTTAGTACTTTATATGACAGCGGGTTTCTTACTCCTACCGAATTATGGTTCGTTCGAAACCATGGACCGGTACCAGAAGTACTTGATGCAGATGTTCCAAATTGGACATTGAGTATCGAAGGAATGGTTAAAACACCATTTGTAATAACATTAGCTCAACTGTTAAAATTCCCTCAAGTCACGCTTCCTGTCACATTGGCATGTGCTGGTAATCGACGAAAAGAACAAAATGTGGTACGAAAAGGGAATGGTTTTAATTATGGAAGTGCAGGACACAGTACTGCTTTATTTACTGGAATTTTGGTTAATGAAGTACTTAAAATTGCTAAACCGCTACGTGGTGCACGATATATGTGTATGGAAGGTAATGACAAACTTCCAACTGGAAGTTATGGAACAAGTATTCGGTTATCAATTGCAATGGATCCTACTATGGGAGTGATGCTTGCGCATAAAATGAACGGTGAACCATTGACTCCCGATCACGGACGTCCATTACGCGTTGTTGCTCCAGGGCAAGTAGCTGGGCGAAGTGTAAAATGGTTGAAACGAATCATAATTTCAGATAAACCAAGTGATAATTACTACCATACATTCGATAATCGAGTCTTGCCAACCATGATAACATCCGAAATCGCTGCTGAACAGAAGTATTGGTACGATGACGAACGATATGCCTTGTACAATCTTAATGTACAAAGTACCATATGCTATCCAGCTCATGAAGAAACTATTATGGTTGAAGAAGGCAAGTCATATTCTGTGCGAGGATTTGCATTTAGTGGTGGTGGAGCACGCATTGGAAGAGTTGAAGTATCATTGGATCAAGGTCAAACATGGAAACTGGCAAGTATTGACTACTTCGAAGATCAATATAGAAATGCTATACACTATCCTAACCTCTTTGGTGGAACATTGGACATGGCTGATCGAGAACATTCTTTCTGTTGGTGTTTTTGGAAAATTGAAATTCCTACCATGGAACTGTCTACCGCAAAGGATATTGTCGTTCGAGCCACGGATGAAAGAATGAGTATTCAGCCTCGAGATATGTATTGGAATGTTTTGGGTATGTTTAATAATTGTTGGCACAGATTAACTATTACTAAGGAACAAGATGGATGCAGTTTGAAATTCGATCATCCTGTTGTACCTGGTTTAACTAAAGGTGGATGGATGGAAAAAGTTAAAGAGCAAGGTGGTGAACTAACCGATGGTTTTTGGGGTACTCGATCTTTAGTATCAGCTTCATCGGAAACAAATTCATTGTCGGTGGTTAATATGATTAATAATGATGTCAAGCGCATTATTACTGAAGAAGAATTATCACAACATAATAAAGATGGTGATGCATGGTTTGCTATCAACGGACATGTTTATGATGCTTCTGAATATTTAAAAGATCATCCTGGTGGGTCTGATTCAATCATTTTAGCAAGTGGAGCAGATGCCTCTGATGATTTTCTCGCCATTCATAGTGATGCTGCTAAAGCCATGTTAGTCAAATATCATATCGGTATTCTTGAAACAAATTCGTTGAAGAACAATGTGATCAATGGTAAACACATGAATTCAGAACGAGACATTTTCCTTGATCAAAAGAATTGGAATACAGTAACTTTAATGGAAAAAATTGTACTCAATCATGATAGTGTACGACTCACATTTGCATTAAAACATCCTCATCAAAAATTAGGAGTACCAACAGGAAAACATCTGTACCTTCGATGTATCTCATCGTCAGGCAAAAAAGTTGTACGTGCATTTACGCCAACATCTACAGTAGATGAAGTTGGAAAATTCGACTTGATTGTAAAGTTGTATAGGGCCAGTGGAAACTGGTCTGGTGGCAAGATGTCTGCATGCATTGATCGACTTAAGCCTGGCGATACTGTTGAATGCAAAGGTCCATTTGGAGACTTTGAATATCAAACTGGAGGTACTCTCGTCATTAAAAATATCGCTCATCAAGTCAGTCGATTTACAATGATTGCTGGTGGAAGTGGAATTACGGGAATATACCCAATTTTGCGATCTGCTCATCGAGATGGTATCAAATGTCATGTGGTAGATTGTAATAAGACTGAGGTAGACATTCTTATGCGTCAGGAGCTTGATGGCTACAAAAGAGTACGCCATTGTCTTTCACGTCCAGCAAATGGATGGAAAGGTCATTCTGGATACATTTCTAAAGCTCTTATCGGACCTGTACATGATGGTTTCTTATTATGTTGTGGACCAACTGGAATGATGGAGAGTGTTCGTAAGATTGCAGAAACAGATGGCTGGGACATTAAGAAACAAGTCATTTTTCTATAAACAAAAGAAAACAGAGTTACTTAGAGCAACTACTTTAGGACTGAAATGTGGTACTCACATGTTTTCTTTAACCTAATTACACTAACACATAAAATTCAAAGTGAACAATCTGTCACACACTTTAGTTACTTTTTCATCATAATTGACTGACAGAGAACAGTCTGCTTTATTTGTTCTGCTTTTCGTACAGAATTTTCTTTTCTTACTGCAAGGGGGAAGGAGCGAAAATGCCGTACTTCAGCGTACTTCCTATACTTTCACACTATGTGATAACTGTACATCAGATCTCTTTAACTATTTCAAGCCTACTATCCGCCTGTGTTACGATATATTAGCCGGAGTCCAGCTTACTTAAGTCAACCTCACCCTAGAGCCCAAATACTTCACGTTACTTCCGAATTAAAAGTACCGTGAAGTATTTGGACCTTTTTGTTAGATAGACTTACGTAGACTGGACTCCGACTAATATACCGTAACACAGATTGATAGTAGACTTGAAATAGATAAAGAGATCTGATGCATAGTTATCACATAGTCTGAACGTACAGGAAGTACGCTGAAGTACGGCATTTTCGCTCCTTCCCCCTTGTCTTACTGGCACTTTTACTGTTTTGTTTTTATTCGCTCATTATTTTTCTTTTTCATAAATATTTTATTTTTTTATTCTCATTATTTTTATTGTAATCATTGCTTGAAATAACAGAGCAGCCTGCCATACATATTCATTATACCTAAAGTAAATATCAACGCATTATTATACATTTTGATAAACGGGGTAGGCATGTAAGGAAATGTGACACAGTGGCAACTTTCGTATACAAGATGAACATGGAATTTTCGTGCTCAGCAATGGGTTTTTATTGCTCAGTAGTGATTATATGTCACTGAGAGAATCATCTCTAAGAAAAAAAACCATTTCTTGAAAGAAAACTTTTTTTCCAAAAACTATCCATAGAGGATCCTTGCCACACTTTTCGAAAAACTTTGTTGTTATGAAACGTAGCGTTCTACACAACACACGACGTAGTTTTTCGCTACGAAGTTATTTTATCGAAAAAACAGAGATTTAGGGTCAACGAGCAGTTTTTTTTAGACACCCATGATTTCGTTGACGTTCACTAGTGCTTTTTGACAATATAGACAAGGATAGATTCCGTATGGAAGAATACTCATTCAAAGTTTGAGCTTAACTTGGTCGAAGCTGCTTGTAACATTTCCAAAAACGAGAAAGTCAATTTTTAGGAACATGTTCAGCCTAAGAGTCAAAACTTTTCTTCAAAAAGCGTTTTAATAGATGGTTTGATGCAGGTTAATGAACTAATGCCAAATATCACCTTGATATTGGGTAGAGCCGTAGCACTACCAGTCGTTGTTAGTGGTCGAAAGTGGCGCTAAAGTGAAAGATGCATCCGATTTGAGAAAATACTCAACGAAGGTTTCAGATAAATCGTCCTTAAACGTTTTGTGACGTTCACAAAATACGCTTTGTCAGGTTTTCGGTCCATTTTCGGCCCATTAATCACTTCTTTCTATTCCATGTATGGTTCAAACAAAATAATTTTAGCATACAATATTGGTTGTGGGCTTATCGTTCGCTTCGATTGAGTTTTCATCAAAAATATCTCGATTAGTTTAGAAAAGAGATGATCTCCATATTCTTGACGGATTCATTTACAGTTGTGTAACGATGAGCTTTCCAACGTTTCGAGTGAGTTTCTAAAAGTCTAGTTTCACGGAACATTCGACGAATCACAGAAATATTCATTCCTATATGTAAACTTTCTAAAATTGAACTTGAGATCATGTTTGCTGGTTGCTCATTGTGTATCGTCTCCATGGATTAATCCAACGTTATGAAAAACTCTTCATAACAACTAGAATAAGTTAGTTTGCTCGAATATCAACTATAAAAGTTCCTTAGCAACATGATCAGCTATAAACATGGGGATGGCCGGTCTGAAATCAGGTTGTTTCAATCTCGGATGAAAATAGGATTTTTGAAATCTCATTATACAACATTAGAACCGATGTGAAATTCAGCCTGAGTACAGTATTTCCCATGCTCTACTGTGATGGCGAGGTGAAACAGCCAAAAAAGTTTGGTGAGTCAAGGTTTTTGAAGGTTCTCTGGAAAATTTTTCCAAAACCTTAAGGTTTTCGCAGAAAACTGAGTTCAACATCATGTTCAGCACATCAAATAACCTATTCTCACATCTCTCTAACGTACCAAAAGCATGTCTGATATGCCTAATTCAAATATTATTTCTGTAATTCGCTGCATAGATGTTGCAGCTCGTTTGATGGGGAACAAAGAAGTCAGGAATTAGTTATATCATTACTAGAAGAAGGGTAGAGGAATTTTAGAAAAGATCATTTGATGTTCTGAACACAATGATAAACTCGGTTTTCCGCGAAACCCTTAGGATTCTGTAAAGTTTTTCCAGAGAACCCTCAAAAACCTTGACTCACCAAATTTTTTTGGCTGTTTCCCCTCACCATCAGATAGAGCATGGAAAATACTGTATTGAGGCTGAATTTCACATCGATTCTAGTGTTGTATAATGAGATTCCAAAACTCCTATTTTCATCCGAGATTGAAATAAACTGATTTCGGGCCGATAATCCCCATTTTTGTAGCTGATCATGTTGCTAACGATCTTTTATAGTTGATATTCGAGCAAACAAACTTATTCTAGTTGTTATGAAGAGTTTTTCATGTCGTTAGATTAATCCATGGAGACGAGACGTGGACGGAAAACATGATAAAAAGTCCAAGAAATACTGGCAAAACGATTGTTTTTCTTGTCCATTAAAGAGCTCCGAAAACTCAAAATACTGACATTCGTAATCAGCACATTGAACTCTATCAATGAATATACGTTTCAGCGAGATCAAAGAGAAGAAGTTCTTCAGAGATTCTAGTGGGAAATCTCGGGTCCCAAAAATCTTTTAATCAGGTTTTTAAAAAACTAACCCCTATTATATCATCAGGCATCATGTCTAACTGCAAACTGAGAAAAAAAACGGAATTTAGTTGACGAGAGACGGCAGAAGAATAGCCGTATCCGCCCTAGTCCTTTGATGAAAAACATTTGATACAGGGACAACTTTATGTACAAATTATATCACATTATTTGAAAGTGCCAAACATGAACGCACAACAACATTGAAAAAGATCATATATCATGAAAATGCAATTACATTCTGTTATACTGATCCATTTCATATTCTAATGACTGAATTATTCAATACAATTTGTTATTTGCTTATATTATAAGAGAAATTTATTGAATCAGAATATACTCGAACTGAATTAGTACCGAATCTAACAATGAACCTCCATACATGGTCTATGAAACAAAACTTTTTTTTCTTACTCCTATTTTCATCATATAATCAAATATTATCCTCTTTTATGTTGAAAATATCAACAACTGATGTGTTTCTATGATGACAACTATATGTTTATATGTGATTTGGACCGGTTCTCTAATTGTTTCACATTCGATTAGTCAGCGATATATGATGGTCAGGGTTACAGTTAATATGTAAATGGTGGTCAGTGTTTACAAGACACTGCTACATGTCTCAATATCAATTTTCAACAAAAAGTTTTGTCTTATCACTTGATTATATTGTTGGTAATCATATTAAACCAAACGTTTTTTTTTTATAGCCATTTATCGTTAAAATGAGTGTGACGCTCACAATGATTACGTTTGCTTTTGGATCGATTAATGCAATTTTATCTAGATCGACATTTCACTTCAAGAGAAGAAGAGATATGGATTGTGGATTTTGTTTATTAGTTTTTTCATAGATTTCTATATTAATGCTACGTGTATTGATCATTAAACATTGACAATTAGCTTGATCTCAAATGGCTATTCTTACGAATGAATCAATTCTCACTTAAAATTGTATATTATTAGATATGCTTGTTCAAGTTCTTTTGGCTTCAATTGATTGGTTTCGTAGATGTGTCTCTATTCAACGAATGTTATGCTGTTATCAAAAGTATTAATTTGAATAGATCTAAAAGTGAAAAAACAGTTAAATGAATAACTTTAAATTTCGTTCTTTTGACTCGTAGGACTCATTTTCATATTCCTCCACATTGTCATTTGGTTGTTGATATTGATAATGATGAACGATGAACTAGGTTTCTATTTCAATACTCTTCTTCAGATGATATCTTGAATATATTTATCACTCTCGTTCATTTTTTAATTCCATTTGTAATGAATTTAATTGCTCTTGTATTTATTATCATTTTAGTAGTTCGTTCTCATCTAATCCTACAGTTAAGAGTATCATTCCAGGAACATATACAAACACAATTGAAACAAAAGAAACATCGTTTGACTGTATTGTGCTTTGATATTTTTAGCAGTACCACGCTTAATCATATCATATATTACAGGATGTATGAAATCACCATATAATTCATGGAACTCTATAACTTGTGTTTTTATTATTTTTATGTTGAATATGTCAAGAAAATCTCTAACTATTCAAATGATGTTTGTTCGAAGAGTATATTCCTCAATGCATTTCTATGCACTGATCTCAACAAAAATTTCCAAAAAATATCTGTTTATCGTAGAAGGATGTAATAATCTACTCTACTTAATATCAACTATCTTGAGAAAGACGTGTGTTTTGTCGTTGAAAATGTCAGCACTATCTAATAAATATTCAATCTATCGATTGGCATCATTTCAGATCAAAAATTTTGATTTTGTTTTTCTTTGGAATGCCTAGCTCTTAATAAAAATGTCAGTAAAACAAGCAATAGCTTTCTGGCAGTAAGCCACAGGCTAGAATCATTTTAGTCTTTTTTTTTTATCTCAATATAGTCTATCGAATGAAATATAATTCATTCTAAAAGGACTTGATACTTCGAGTACTACCGGGGTAAGCTCAAGCTTGAAAATGATAATTCTTTGTTTTTCTAAGAATATCATAAGAAATATAATTTATTTAATATTTTTCTCACG